CAATTCAAAGATGTCGGCTCCTGCCATCACAGTTTTTAAGGCTAAAGTCACCTGACACTTACGAATGTTCAAAACGTTTTCATAAATTTCTTAGAGGCATTGTTTCCCTTCTTGTATTGAAACAGCATTACGTGCCAAATGTGTGTGTCGTCTTGTGCCATCACTATAAGGGATTAGAGTATACTAAACTTTACACATTATATAGGCTACACTAATGTGACATTTAGGCAGTTCAATTAACTAGTATACGTGATGTTTTTTAACGTGACATTAATTTCTTGACAACCTAACAAAATTTTAAAACCTTACATCTGGAGGTATCTTGGAACCATCTCGTACAACGTTTCCTTCCACTGAAAAGTGATACAGTTGGCCATCAGTGTCAGTAAAGACAAAGTGTTCACGGGTAAGGACCATGGTCTTTGAAGTTCTGCAGCAAAATGAGAGATATGAATTAAGACTGCATTGAGAACCACTGTTACTTCTGCACAAATCTAGCAAACATTTTATGAAGTTAACCAGAAGTAATAATATTTATTTTTACATTAAAAAAACAATCTATGTGAAAACTTTCAACTTTTTAGAACACTGAAAATTTTAACTAAACAATCTTCCATGATCTATGACCTCTTCAAATACTTTTATCAGCAAAAACCACAAATTATCTCGTATAGTTTCAATGAATATGTTGTGCTTACAGTACATTGATAAACAGGAATTTATGACAACTAATCTGTTGCTAATGTACATTAAAACAAGAGGGAATCCTCAATAGCCATGGCTGTAATTATATCTCAAATCAGTCAAGAGATGGAGCTATGAGCTAAAAGTTTGTACTAGGAAAAAAACTCACAGCCATTCTATGAGCCACAATGCTGCAGCTAAAAATATAGTGGTTGGTATATTAAATCTGAAAATTAGACATACAAAACCCCAAAAAGCTCCACAGGCATGTTAAGCATTAAAATATGTATACTCTTAAAATTAGTATAATGGGACTCCAAAGTTAAAAGTGAAAAAGGCATCAGTAACAAACAAGGGTAAATATTCAGGTTCATCTCCAGTACACGGTTAATTGGTTCTAAAAACTTACACAGATGATTTAGAGACAATACTGGAAACTGAAAATGATGACATAAAATCTTGAATATCACTTCCATCCACTTCATTACTTATGTGATGTTTTTTGGTGTGTAATGGGGACCATTCCTAAAGTAAAAGGGGAAAATTTTTTTATAGCAAACTAAACAAAGTTTCAACATTTTAGAAAAAATACTTTTTCTTTCACATAAGATTAAATAAACCTTCTAAAATACAAAGTTAAGTTTAAAAAAGCTACATTGAAAAAAGGAATCATCTGTTAATGTTCAAGAACAAGAAACATTGTGCATAAATAATAAGATACACGATGAGTAAATTAAAGATTATAGTAAAAAAATTATTACTTAAGGTAAAAAAAAGCTTCATCATTCACGATTACAAGGTAAAACATGAAATAAGCTAAAGTATCAGAATACTAAGATATATGTCACCAACTGACCATTAAGACACTGTGCTTGTTTGTTACAATTTGTCATAAACTACATAAAATTTTTATTTCAAGATCAAACCAATGTTTTAGATTAAATGATAATGCACTATACAGCATAATTTGACCCAATTATCTTTATCATAAGTAAGAAGTAGTTACGAATTTTCATGCTCACCAAAGCAGTGATTGTTGGGAAAGTTTTGGGCATGATTCTCAATAAATATAATGTTCTCAAGTCCCAGATTTCACAAGGTTCTTCTTTGAAGACAATGATAAAATACTGTCTTTAAAAAAAATACTTAACTAATTAATCAATTTCTGTCCTGAAATACAACCTGTACAAAGTAGCTATTCCAATATATAATAAACTCTCGGCAATGTGTACCTTTCTTATGTAGCTAGCTTTGTGTAACAAATAGTTCACCAGTATTTAGTACTTGGTTTATATTTTAATAAAAAAGTACAATTCAATTTCATTTTGTCAACTCTTCTAGAACAAATACCAGCCTTATTCTACATGATTCATATGTTTAACACACAGCACCTTTATTTCACATGGTTAGTATTATTTCATTGTGGAAATACTACTTCATGTAGTTATCTTACTATAATGACTTAAAAATGGTGTCTGTAACTATTTATTACCTATGTGCAATCACTCAGAATAATAGCTTCTGTATTGAATAAGTTATCATTAAAAAGATAATTTTCCTTATATTTTTCAACAACAGTCAAACTTCTAAAATGTTGTTTATAGTTAGAATATTAGTTTAAATTTGCAGTGTTGTAGGACAAGTATGAATTGTCTGGGTATTTCTAAAAACAAATAAAGTCATATCTCATGTAAAGTTTCCTTTAAAACATAACCATACTTAATTGTCAGCATTACTTTAACACAAAGTCCTATGTCATCTAACTAATACAGAAGTCCTATTTTAATAAAATATACAGTAGTACAATTTTCCTAAACATAAACAACAGATCTACTTTATGTGTTATAATTAACTTTTTCATAACATATAAAAACTCTACTTATAAACTACAATTTTTTAAACATAAATAGAAAACTTAACTTATGTTATTAACTTTTCCAAACATAAATAGAGCATTTATTTTTTGTTACTAACTTTTCTAAACATAAATAGAACATTTATTTTATGTTACCAACTTTTCTAAACATAAATAGAACATTTATTTTATGTTACTAACTTTTCTAAACTTAAACTTACTTCATGTAGGACACACGTAGCATCTCAATGGGAGACTCCTCATTTTTTTCACTTCGTAGCACCTTTGTTCGACCTGACTGCACATCTGTTAGGACAAGTTCATTACGAACTTTGCCACAACTAGCCATCATGTTGGGATAGGCATAAGATAAAAATGCTGTCAGGCTCACCCATTCAATTCCTCTATGGGACACACAATAAGAATCATTTGAGTTGTAATGAAGCTTTCACCAACATACAACATAAATATATATCTTTCATAAAGTTACATACAGCAAAAAAAAACAATATGTAAAAAAGATTTAATAATACAATACTACTCTGTAACATAAAACTTTGACAACTCTATAACTCTGCTCTTATTCAAGAACTTTAATGGCATATTATATTAATTTTTATTACATAATATTAACAGATTCTCTAAATTTTAAAAGTTCAATGATTAGTGCTGGGCAACTAATGGAATTTGCTAATCAATTAATCGCTAGGTTCATTAATCTATTACATTCAACTAATCAATTATTCTCACAAGATGGTTAGAAACAAAAATCCATTATTCTTCATTGAAAGAGATAAAAGTAAAATTTAAGAATGCTGAGGCTCGGGTTTTGATACCAGCAATAGCCAGAGCACAGCTAGTCCATTGAATAACTTTGCGCTTAGCAACAAATAAACATAATGGCAATATATCAATTACTTGGATAGTTGAAATAATAAAAAATTGTGATAAACCATAATTTCAATTAGTTGATTATTTTCACGACACTAGCCATAATTTCAATTACTGGATAGCTGGAATAATGGAAATAGTAACTATCAGAAACACTAATTTTGATTAATTTGTCTTCTGTGACATTAGTCAAGTTAATTGCAATTTCAATTCCTTAGCACTTGAAATAATAAAAAAATGTAATTATTGGAAACATCAACTGATTATTTTTGTGGCATTAATTAAGTTAACCAATATTTCGATTGATTTCTCATTTATTTTACATGATTCTATGATTCTACCTTAATAACACATCCTTATTATGATGCCTACACATCACGATTTACAGTACATATTACAGTTGTACTGTTTAAATCTAAGGTCTTTAATAATGATTTATTAATTTAGTGTCTATACCTGAGAAATTTAGTCAAAAACGTTAACATTTTCTTATAGTGAAAATGTATTTCCAATAGATATTTACTCCATCTCACAGAATAGCTTTTCTCAACTTGTGCTGTCCTCTACATGCACAATTTTCTCTCCCCACTAGCCTTGATGCTCCCAACTACCCTCACATAATTTCTCATGGTATAACTGCACTGTGGCATATATAAGAGCATGCAACAACAGGAGAGGGAAAAATGTGACATGATTGGGAGAAACGAAAGGTATTAGACACAGTTGCCCTATAGCCAGCAATGGTGGAAACTGATAAACCATTGTACAAGAACAAAGTAAAGAAATCAGAAAGGTGGTAAACACTAGGTGGGGAAGGTAAGAAGCCATGGCACAAAGACCAACTCTGGAAAATTGCCATTTCCTCTGGGAAATATTTAAAGAAAGGTGGACCAGTGAGAAAGAAGGGAAGCTACTTGCATAGAGTTTGGATCATCTTCCAGAGGACCAGACAAAATTTACACCTGAAGCCAGAGTGTGGTGACAGCAAGATGGAATATGGCAGACTGAGGTTGAATTAGAAGGGATTGGGAAAGCAGAAGAGGTACAGGAGGGGGCAAATGAAGTAAGTTCAGGATTGGAAACCCCAGTTGAGCAGGCCAGAATGGAGCAATCAGAAGGACTCAAAACAGAGTGGCTTTGATAAAGGAAAGAAGATGGATAGGAGGATATGAATAAAAGTTACGATTGGTCCAATCCTGACCGAAGGCATCCACTGCTAAAGCCAAAGGATGTGGAACTGGATACTAGAAGGAGGACAGTTTATATTGAGATTGGTGGTAAATGCATCCAGAAAAGGAGTACCAAACAGGGTGCACAATCAACAAAACACTCGAAGAGCAACAGACCACTCAATATGTAAAATCTTGTCAGGATGTGATAACTGATCCACTACAAGATTCAGAGCACTCACTGAATAAAACGTGTATGAGGGCATCCATGTAAGCCCAGATCCCAAAAGAGATAGTACATTGCATGCAAGTAGAAAAGGAAGGGACTTGGCTTTGGAAACCAAGAACTCCACTGACATCACAAGAAGAGGACATGGCTGGGCCCGCTGAGGTAGGTGTTGAAAAATACCCCCAAATGCATAAGATACTGTGTGGGGGTGAGAAATAACTTCTCCAGCTTGACACAAGCTGCCTTCTGTAGGAGGAAATGGGTATGTTAGCAAGAGGCTTTTGGGATAGAGCTAAAAGGAGACATTATTCCATATAATGACAAAAACACAAACCCTTGGTGTGAAGATGATGAGCAAAAGTTCTTAACACATGACAGAAGACATATGGCACCAATGCCAGACCAAAATGGAAAGCATGGAACTGAAACACTCTACCCCCGTGAACAAACCAAAAGCATCTGAGACATCGATCTTGGTCATCCAAAGACCTGGAGTGAAGGACCAATGAAGGTTGAGGAAAGACTCCATGGTGAACTGCAGGAGGAGGATGAAGCAGTTGAGGTTGGAGAGATCAATGACAGGATGCCAATTCTCAGTTTTCTCTGGGACCATGAACAACAGGAATAAAACACTGGAGAAGTGTGAAATACTTGTTCAATAGCATCCTTGTGCAAAATATCAGGAACTGCCTTCGAGAGATGCTGGCATGGAATGGAATCCCGAGGAGGGGGGAAGGAAATGGGTCACAAAGATAAAGGTGGGCAAAAATAGTAGGAATAGTTTTTTGTTAAAACCTGAAGAACCCAGGGGCCACAGTGAATGGGTGCCACTGGTGAACAAATCTGGCTGAGTTCCCATAGTGCCAGAACCCATGAGTAAGTCAACAATGAAACTGGCATCAGAAAACATGATGATGGGCAATTTGGTGACCCGCCATAGAAACCCACAAAAGTGGCACTGGTAGTGGAGAGGATGCAGGGGGTGAGATGCAAGAACAGCAGGAGAGGTTTGGAAAAGAAGAGAAATAAGGGAGGAAATGGAAGAATGTTGACATGCAGCCTTTACTCAAGACTAAAAAGTATCAGGAAGATTCCCAAAAATAGACAGTCATTTTAAGGGCCAGGTAGAAGTCTTGCAAATAGAAAGCAGGCATCTGTGAGACAAGAGGGCTTCCCAACCAAGTTGAATCCAACAACAAAGGAGACATTTATAAAGGGATAATGCTGTAGAAGATAAGTGCACCAATGCAAAAAAGAAAATGGAACATGTATCCACCAAAAAAACCTCAGGGAAACACAGACAGCTTCAGAAAGGAGATGGATGGAAAAGAGATAATAAGTAATATAACAGGAAAGTCATGTCCAAAAAAGCCAAAAGAAGATTAGGAAAATTCAGAGGGGATAGCATGAGATGGTGCAGCAAAGGCTGAAGGTGGGAATAGGCTGTCCTCTTCATTAGGACCAGGTTCCTCCAGAAATGAGAGATCCAGCTGAGGTTTCAGACACATAGCAGGCTGCAAGATAGTTTACAACTCACAATGCACCATGGCCAAAGCCAAAGAAGTAGTAAATGGTGGTAGATCAGTAGCAGCCAGAGCCATAACAGAATGCATTGTAGTAACATGTGGAAACGAAAAAAATATTCCACAAATACTAAGTAAGCAGCAAATAAATGACAACATACTAAGAGTTGTCAAAATACATTAGAATTAACTGAAAGTGCATGAGAGAATTGTAAGTAAAGAGCAAAAATTTAGCATGAATGCACACTTGAATACCAAATCAAAGTGCTCTACAGTATAGACAAAATCAGCTCTGTTAGGAGGGTGTGTTGTACTCCTATTGGTGGAGGGTTGTCGCATGCTCAGTTGCATACTACAGTGCAGTTATACCACGAGAAATTATGTGAGGGTAGGTGGGAGCATCAAGGCTAGTGGGGAGAATAAATTGTGCATATGGAGAACAGCACAACTTGATAAAACCTATCATGTGAGAAGGGGTAAAGTATCATATCAGAACTCCTTTTAGTTTAAGAAACTTAATAAAATCTGAACTTTAATGTACTTGAACAATAACAGACGTAAAAAGAAGTATTTTGTTAAAGAAAGTCACTTTCATTGAATATGATGATTTGTTCAGAAAAAACATTGGAATTTTCATAGGAAATCTGAAGTTTCTGTAACACACAAAACAGTGTATACAAAAAAAACTGTTACCTGACAGGTGCAGTTAGTAAGCTAAATTCTCGTTCAATAATTCCAGTTGCCATATTGAAAACCTGTACTCCTCCCAGTGCATTTCCTAAGAAAAGATTAAAACAAAACCTCTAATATTTGTGTTAATCTAAGGTCAGCCTACATCCATTCAATATTAATAAAAATTATTTATAAAAAAAAAAGGCTAATAGTAAAACAAAAGAATCTTCATACACTATCCAGTATTATATTCCCTACTTCCGATTAATACAGATGCAACATGGTATTAGTTATTGTGGCTAACAATTTTTCATACTACAGTCATTTTTGAAACTCATGAAATTCTATCAGAAAGAAACTAGGAGTAAAAGAATTCCAAGTAACTAACTATTTATAATCAAAACCAGAAGCTTAGACTATTAATATGGTTAATCAAGCCATATATTCTGCTAGTTCACTTTAAAAATCATCCATTCCTAATTAATTTTTACTTGCGCCTTAACTTATGGTGACAAAGTCAGCTTTAAAACTGACAGTGCATTCTGTCAGAACATGTTGAGCAATTCTAGGTATATATCCAGGTTCTACTGGAATGCATGCCTATGTAAGTAGGCAATGGCCAGATGGAGGATCTTATACGTATCTTTGTGCCATGAGAATGTACAATAATAAATCACACATGACCATTTATTCTTGAGAATCACATCTTTGAGACAAAAGTAAATTTATAATTCTAAACACCACACGCAGATCTAGTTTAACACAAATATGAGTATAAAAATTAAGAAACAGCTAATACTTTTTCCTTTATTGATCCAACTTTATGATGAATCTTGAATTGTGTAAAATGTGAAGTTTCATAAAACAAGTTTAAAGCTTTCTTTGTTAGTACATCATTTGCATGTTTAGCTTCTCATAATTATCTAACAATTTCACACACATTGCAGCATCACTTAATCAAAACAATTTTTTTATTTGTACATAAAATTTTACAATGAATGTTTATTATTCTTCAATTTCTGCACCTCAAATATAATACCAGTTTTTTTCTCAGTTGTTACAGTAAATGGTTACTATTTAAGTTAAAACAGTAACTTGAATTTAATGAAATGTATTGGGTACAGTGAGTAATGTTGAGCATCCTATTGATGTCAAAGTTAAAACTTGTCATCCTAGTATTAGTAATCTTTGCTGACAATTGTCCTCTGCCAAATGAAACCAAAAACAGTAAAATACTGAAACTTAACTTTATTATTTCAATTTTGCTCATTTATGTTTAGCCAGAACAGAAAGTGTTTATAGAAGAGAAAAACAACAACCTTAATATATTATACTACATACTGTATTCTCCTGAAAAAAAAGAAAGGAACAAAAATGTCTTATATTTGTATAAGTTTAAACTTACCTATTGCCATTAATGGCTTGTAGACTGTCCAGTTGCGAAAGGTAACAGGTGGACACATGCGAATGACATGAGGTGGTGGTGCCAACCCATTAAGATATCCAGTTATAAGAAACTTTAATGACATTGAATTTGGCAGTATATCCTTTTCATTGTCACAATATGGGTCTAAATTCTGTACTAATGATCCAAACATGTCCGACAACCACAAGCAAGGTGAAGGAACTGAAGATGAATACGGCAATTGGCAGCAGCTTGTTGGTCGCTCTCTTTCCTTTAATTCTTCTTTCTCTTTAACAGGTAGATCAACTTTCTACATAAATATATATGTGTGTTAAAAAGCTTGTGTTAATTTTTCACAATCATAAAAAGAGAAACAAGATGGCTACCCATAAGAAGAATATTATACCCCATTACAAAAACTCTCCTAATACAGCAGAATAACTAATAAATTGAAAAGTTATGTAACTTGTTCATAAAATTTTCTATAAACTGTATAAAGAACATATAAAGTATAGTCTCATAGAAGAATTTTATAGTTATAATAACTATATGGGTCCTAAGTTTTAAAATGCAGTAACGGAAAGAATTATGGAAACACACAAGAAGCACAAATACAGGAGTCACTAATTAACAATGCGTAGTGGCATCTAGATGGTAAATATATTAATGATACAAAACATTATTGCATGAAATACAGAAATAAAGCACATTAGTTGTACAACGCACTAGTATTTTGTATACAAGTCCTTTGCTTCACACAGAGCATTATAACTTGTTTTCATGTTGCAATGAAACTTCTCAATGTATGTTTTTGAAATACTGTTTCTAAGTATCCTTTATTACTCCCTACAACTCAGCCAAATTATTCAGTAGCCTTTTGACCTTCTCCGGGTTTATACAAGTCCATTAAACCTCAAGAGTGTTCATATCAGAACTTTGTGCAGACCAAGCCATGACTGAGTGTTCCACTTGCCTTGGGATCACTGTCTTGCTGAAAGACAAATTTCCACCTGATAAATCATGTTCCTGAAGGAATGGCACAATGGATCAGAATCTGTATGTACTTGCCATCAATCAGGATATAATCAGTTTTGTATGGATCAAAAACACCACTGGTTGAGGTGCAGCCCCAAATTGTACAGATTCTCCAACCATGCTTCACTGTAGAGGTTGTACCTTGACCATAAAACCTTCTCCTATCCATGACTTAACAAACTGTCCTTGACTGATGCCAAACAATTTGAACTTGGATTCATCTGCCAGCTCTACTGTTTGTGGTCCAAAATCAATTTCACCCTTTCTGTTTTATCTCCTCAGTTGTGATTTTCCAGCAGCTACACATCTAATGAAACCATTCTGAGCTCCTGTGTATCTTACTGTTTGCAAGGTAACATTCAATCTGTATCTACAACAAGGTCACTTGCATGATCTGTACTCAACCATCATCATCATCTTCAGTGAGTTTCAGTTTTCAACCTAGCCCACTTTTATTATTAAAAGAGCAAATTTCACTTACCTTTTTCAGGGTCTTGCATACAGCTGCTACAGAAACATGAAGTCTTGCCACAATTTTTCACATGAAGTAACCTTGACCAGCAAAACTTCCATCTCTACATGCTTATAATGCAGCATTTCAGTCCTAGGAGACATGACTGGATTCATACTATTATTACTAGGCATAGTCTGAGTGCCTGTACTTTTATATAGACGTTACATTGGTGTGGAACTTTCTCCCTCACTGAATGACAACCAATCATAATGTAGACTATTAACATGCAACTTTACTCCAATACAGTTCATTTTCACATGTTAAAGGTGTAGCATTCCCAAAGTATTTGCCATTTATACCCTTTTTTTACCTCAGTGTTTCCATAATTATTTCCATTTCTGAATATTGGGAGAAAATGTATCAATAGTAACCAACTATTCAATTCAATGAAATCATTTTGCTTATCTGAACATTTTAATGTAACTTAAAAAATGCTTTAAAACTCACCACAAAGAGAAAGCTATTTAACCCTTTGTGGACCAGTAGGGTGTCACTAATATACCTTGATTTTTTACCTTCTCACAGAATCATACTTGAAATACTTAATCATATAGCATAAAACATAGTACAAACTTACTGAACAGTATCTAGTTTTGGCTCAAAAATATTCATTCATATAGTCTGAATTACTCTTTTGTATCACTTTTTACAATACCAAAATTTTGTTGTGAGACACTGTCATACATAAAAAAAAATACTTTTATGTAAAAATTTCAATCTTTTTTTATTTTTCCATTTTATATATGTAGTCAGTTTCAACTTGATTGGTATTCATTAACATATTTCTTTGGTACGTTATTTTGCCAATTGCAGCAGTCTCCAATTCCAGCTATAATATCATTGAAAAACACATGCAAAAACTGACAAAGATTTATTGGTGACCTAAGATCTCATCTTTCAAAATGGGGTTACTTTTCCTTTGTTCAAGCTAGATAATAATGTTTTGCTAACAGTATTTTGGTCCAGATCAATTTATATCTAATAATTAATTTCTTTCAAATAAATAAATTATTTTATTTGTGTGTATTGTTTGGATATAACAAGCTTAACAATAATATTCAATAAGTATTTGAGTCATCAGAAAATGTTGCTGTCACCTACCATAAATGCTGAACATAGTTAAGCTTACTCAATTTTAAAACAATTCTGTAACTTTTAAATAGTTATTATTTAACACACAAACATTTTCAGAAATGACCAAAAAAAACTAAAATAACCCAAAATATATAACATTTGTAGTTTGTTCCCAAGTCTTCCAGATATCCCTTTAGGTCCCTTTGTTCATCCCCTACAGACACTACAGGTTGTCAATTTCTCAAGAACCATAAATTGATGTACATAGTTCATAATATTTTCTACTCAATGGTATTCAGCCACTGGCTAAAGCTCTCTTCAAAGATGAGCTTCATTAGTAATTGTTCAGACCATATGCTGTGACATCATAAAAAAGTTGCAAGAAGGGGTAGTAATTAAAAACACCTATAGAGAAGGATAATCATAAGAAAAACAAGGCACAATAAATTTATTCTTAAGGGATGATGGTTGCTTAACAAATATACGAGTTCAACTCAAATTCAGAAAATTCTTATGACTTAGCATTTAAAACCTAACCTGAGACAGAAATCTTTAGTATCTACCTGTTGAGATGGGATCAATTCCACAATTAAGAGCCTCCCATCACTGATTAACACCGCAACTCTACACTCAGATTTTGGACAGACAGCCATTCCCATCAAACGTGCATGTTTAGTAAGACGTAAAGCATCAGACTGACAGCGGATATCATAACACAGTTCCACAGTGTTGTCAAAAGATCCAACTGAGACTGTATCTGAAATACAGCAACAAAGGAAATATCCATGTACCAATTAAAATGATAAATTACAAAATATGCATTTCTGATTCATAAAAATACATATATTTAACTCTTTCTGTACAACTGGGTTAAAGTGCACATCATGACATTTTACAGTGTTCAAAAGTTAATTAAAAACCTTTATTATCAATGTATGTCAATAAACATGGCAAGAAAATGTCATCTATAATAAAAAAATTATATTATCTAAGTTTTATCTTCTTATTTAAATTAAGAAAGAAACATTAAGAAACTTCAAACATCATTTTTCTGTGTCAAGTTATGTATCTGAATTCTGGATTCTTCATTTCAGAATTTTCTTTCTAACTTCTAAAATAGACTGCTGCACTTTACAAACACAAATTATACATAATTACAAGCAACAATCAGAAAGTTAACATTTCCCTCAACAGAAAATGTATTTCAGATAGGTACCCAAATCTCTGCAGGACAAACTCTGTGCCACTGCCATATATTTTTGAGCATGCCACAAGTCTTGAATAAAGTTCCCTGCATGTACCTGTTATGTGCCAGCCTATGATGTGATCAGATGGAGATAAAGAAATTACAAAGATAAGTTCTATTCTGAAATCACAGCTTCAGAAAGAAAAAAAAACAAGGAAGTGTGTTACCTACTAAAGGTGTGGGAAGGGGGTAGCATAGTGGAGCATCACTCAATGGGAGACTGCATCCTTCTTATGCAGGAGACACTTTTCACTCAATAAATGTAATACAGCAAAACATATGGTCAAAGTAATATTCTGTGTGGTGCTAAAGTGTCACATAGATTGGTGAAATGCAAGATTACTTGACTGGCCATTTTCTCCCAGGTGGTCAGCTAAGCATGAGTGTGTAGTGTTGCTAGAATAACAAGTCAGGTCATACCATATTGGAGAAATACTTATATGAGGTAATTATTAGAATAACCAGGTGCTGAAAGAAAATATCCCAGACCTACATCCCAAGGAGAACATAAGACCCATCTGACTAGCATAACCACCAGGAATGGCTTGGTCCATAGTGTACTCCACTTCCAGGCAACACCCCAGTCCTACTTCCCATCAAGGGGTGCTTCCACTTGATCTCGTAGACTGATCTAATGGGGAAACTCTAAATCAACCTCCCCAGTGGCTTGGGATTGGAGAAATAAGGATTCTCCCATTACTCCATTCAAAAAAGGGGAGAATTCATGTTGGAAAAAATGTTGAAGAGGTGCTCAGACTGAACAGGAATCATCACATATGTATAAGGTTCCACAATGATAAATTGTGCAATGGGTTACCATGAATACAGGCAGCAGGTGCTGGTCAGGTGTGAGTGTAAGCTTGCCTCACACCTGGTGTAATTCGTTTTTTACTCTTGCAATATAGACTGGAAGGTAATATATATATATATATATATATATATATATATATAGTAGTACTAACTACTTACTTATACTACCACCTACTAC